AGCCAACTGACGATGAGCAAGAACTTGTGTCGGAATCCGAAGCGGAAGAGGATCAATACGGTACAACCAACGAATCATACGAGGACGCTACGCTCACCGAGCAGCACAATGCCGATGAACGTCCCCTCAAAGCACCGAGAGATCCATTGTTCACGTGTATTCCGATACGTGCCTCAAGTCGGTCAACCAAAGGGGTACCGCCGAACCGATTCACTGAAACCAGCAAGCTGATGAGTCAGCAATCGTTCGAGCCGACGACGCTAGCAGAAGCACTGTCGGGTGCAGAGCGTGAACACTGGAAGAAAGCGATGGACGAGGAGTATACGTCGCTGCAGGAAAACTTCACATGGGATATCGTCATCCTTCCCACCAATCGGAAACCAGTAGGCTGCCGGTGGATTTTCAAGAAGAAGCTGGATGAGGACGGGAATGTAGCAAGATACAAGGCCCGACTTGTCGCTCAAGGGTACAGCCAAGATATTTGGTACTGACTACGACGAGGTCTACGCGCCGGTTGCAAAACACGCCACGTTCCGGGCGCTCCTTTCGGTAGCAGTACGCCGAAAGATGCAGGTGAAGCATGTCGACATCAAGACGGCGTATCTGTATGGAGAAACTTCGGAGACAATTTACATGCGTCAGCCACCAGGGTACGAAACCGGAAGTCCAACGGATGTATGCCATTTGAGGAGGAGCTTGTACGGCCTGAAGCAAGCAGGAAGGGTTTGGAACAAGACCATTACCGACGTTCTGAAGAAGCTGGGGTACGAAGCAACGGAAGCCGATAGCTGTCTATTCGTAAAGACCGGTCGTGAGTTGTTCTTCATCCTATTGTATGTGGATGATATGTTGATCGTCACCGACGGCGTCAAGGAGTACGCACGAGTACGGAAGCACCTGGAGCAGAAATTCAAGATTTCGTGTCTGGGTGATGTAGGCAACTACCTTGGGATTCGTGTTGAACGTGATGCTGATGGAAGTTTCAAATTGTGTCAAGACACGTACATTTCGAAGATGCTGACCACGTTTGGGATGGAACAAGCAAAATCGTCACAAATTCCGATGGACCCCGGGTTCATCACCATAGAGCAAAAGGATGAGGAAATGTTAACCATCGACAAATACCAGAGCCTTGTGGGAGCTTTGCTCTACGTTGCTGTTTGCACACGACCCGATTTAGCGATCACGGCGTCCATCCTTGGGCGCAAAGTCAGCAAACCAACGGAACGTGGCTGGACGGAAGCGAAACGAGCCCTGCGGTATTTGAAGGGTACTGCTGGACTAAAGCTGCGACTGGGAGGAAGAGGCAATCTTGAAGGATACGCTGACGCTGACTGGGCGGGCACCGTACGGATAGAAAGTCCAATTCTGGATTTCTGTTCAAGCTTGGCGGAGGAGTAATTAGCTGGACAGCTCGCAAGCAGGAGTGCGTGACCTTGTCTTCACCAAAGAGCTTCTCTGGCTGCTCAAGTTGATGCGAGGACTAGGCGAGGATATTCAGCAACCCGTGACCGTCTACGAAAACAACCAAAGCTGTATCAGTATGCTGAGTGCCGAAGGAGTGACGAGACGAACAAAGCACATCGATACCAGGTATAACTTTGTCCGGATCCGCTGACAAAACCACTAGGCCGAATTAAGCTGCAGAAGATACGGGAGGAGATTGGCTTGCAGAACATCGTCCTTGAGAAGGAGTGTTGAAGTAGAAACAAGAACGACATTAAAGCAAGCCATGCTGTTATTAATTTGTATTCTCTCAGAAAATAAATGCTAGTTACTTTTTGACCACCAACCAAGCAGGTTGTACTTCTCTTTAACCTCCAAGATTCTCAACCCAAAATGTTTGGATTTCAGTGAGAAGTTCAAATCCCTGCAGGGACAAATCCTCACACAATATGGTGGATATTACCGGCACATCACGAACGGTAAATACTCTTGATTGAATTGGCGTCTTCACGGCAAAAAATAATTTTGATATCACATCAAAGTGGATGCACTACAATCATGTCGAAAATTTCATGTAATTTTTATGACCACATAAATAAACAAATGCAGTAAAAGCAGCGTAATGTCAGTTCATGCATTGTATTAATGGTAATTTTGTCCTTTTTAGCAATTAATATTACACCATATTTTCGACATGATTGTAGTGCATCCACTTTGACGTGATATCAAAATTATTTTTTTGCTGTGTTGCAGTGAAACTTTTCCAAGCTTTCGCCTCCTACATTTCGAAGTGAGAACTACTAGAAGGAGGATAGTTTCCAAATATTCCAAGTAAAACAGACGATTTTTGGGGCAAATCGGTCCATAAAGAAAAACTAATAATTTCCCGTGGAAACTTTTGCTTGAATCGTGTAAGAAAACGTGTTTGAAAACTAATTGTTATTATTTCGGTATAGATCGGAGAGGTTTTCATGGAAAATAATGCATAACAAGTTTGCACCCACAGCGAGAGGTTACCTCCTGCGCAGCTGCATTTTTCGGAAAATGGTGAATATGTGCGATTTCCACTAAGATGAAAGTGGAAATTAAGTTAATTTACTTAGGAAAGGTTGTATCATGCTGGTGGTAATGGAGAATCGGTTGTATAGGACGCCAATATTCAATAAATGTTCATTTTGGCCTTTTCTAAGCAAACATATTGATACTCACAATTTTCGACGGAAAACGCAACGGAACTAGCAACGGAACTTACTTTACTCAACACGCACCATACTATAAAATGGTGCTAGATGCTCTTCAATGTGATTACAAGATGATAAATCATCTTTATTTTGAGTAATTGAGCAATTTACTTCTGTTTACATCATATTTACGATGCAGCATTGATGGAGCCGCGAAATGAAATGAATATATCTTATGAAAGTTCAACTGCAAAAGTCAAAGATGCACATCAGTCTGATCGTAAAAACGTTTTCTTCTTCAATTCGAATGTTATATTGGAAGGATTTTACACAGGCTTGATGAAAATTATGATTTAACGCTAATTTTCACGAATTTTATATGCAGTCTGTCAACATTATCATCATCATGCAGTGGCGACATCTGCGTTGAGCTTTTACGGCAATCTTCCAATAGTAAAACCACAAACGAGGTGACAGATGACTAACTGGCGATGAAATCAATCAAAATAATGTGGTTCGCTGTAATAGAATTTTCTTAGAAGCTTGTGCCATCATCCACCAGATGGGATAGTATTTTTGCTTTGGTTTTGCTCAAAGTTGATTTTGTGTACAATGACAGTGTGCAAAGAGTGTAAAATTTTGTCATTTTTTTATGCATTTCAGTTTTGAGTAGAGTGAAAGAGATAGAACCAAAACATTCTAGTACATTTGGTGAAAATGCTAGTTTTATCCAGTAGAAGTGTTGCCATGTGGTACAATCCAGTAGTAGTGGTGTTGCCATGTGGTACACTGAAAAATTGCAATAGCAGGTTAGTCTCCAAAGTTTTCGAGCCGCTCCGTCTGTCACTTCGTTTGTGGTAAAACTTTATAATGCATATTCAACCATTCCACTTATGATATTTTTATAGATTTTTTGAGGACACTGCACAGTGGTCTAGGAGGGTGTTTTTCAGGTAAAAACTAAAAAAGTGCATAAAGATGCAGATTAATCAAGCTGGTGTCTTCAAACAAGTTTAGATTTGAATAAAGGCGCATCTGATGAAGGGGTCGTCCATAGTTTAAATCCGTTAGAACAAAAAATAAAATTTCTAACTTTTTTTCTATGCGGTTAAGAAAAATAAAATGTTCCACAAAGTTGTGGATCTTATCATTTCCACAAACTTTACCGAAAACATCAAAGGTTTAAATCGTTGTTTTCATTGTGATATGAAGTATTTTTTAAGGAAGGTCCCTCAAATCGTTTTTTCAACCATATCTTTTTTATTTGATTTTTTCATGGCATACTATGTAAGAAGGAGTTTTTTTCAGTTATCAAAACAAGCAACTTTCTAGAATACTTCAACACGCTACCTCACAAATGACGTTAAGAGTGCTTATGTGTTCAAAACATACGATATTGAGGTGGATAATTTGCAAATTGGGGCAACCAGTTTTTTAAACTAATGACGTGATAAAATTTTACGGGCTTTGATGAATATTTTCATGTAAAAATATCAGAGGGGAAGTTATTTTTCATTCCAGGACAGCTAATTTAAAATCATGGTTTTTAGCTCAATTTTACTTAAAATTGGCTCTTTTCTGAGCTAACTTCTTTTATTTCAAAGTTTAATCATCTCTTTCGTTAAAAATGTAATTTTTTGTAGAAAACCACACAGCTTGACAGATAAATATCACATTACATTATTTTTTTTCCTTTGGTTTGTTTTTTCCGTCGATCTTGTTTTCCGTGCTGAGCATCAATGCTACCGACGTGCCAGGAAGGCAGCTCCCACACCTGGACCCTACCTATCGACCCATCAACTCATGAACCGGGGACCAACGGCTTTACTTCCCTTCCGAAGGAAAACGTGACCAGAGGTTTTTATGCCCCAGAAAAATCCCACCGACCTCGGCTGGGATGGAACCCAGACCCATTGTGATAAAAGACTATGGGAACATAAAAAAAAAACACTATTGTGGTCAGAAAACGAAGCTGAAACCGATAATATTTTTTCAAATCAAGGATCCCAAATTTTGATAATTACGGGCAAAGATTTCAAAAGACCATTTGAACGAAAGCCATTCAATCAAAAACTGTTCGAAGCTATTTTAAAACAAGACTGATTACATTTTTCAGGCTCTAACATGCTCTTTTCCCGAAAACTTTGGTTTTTATTCACCCACATCTACGAATTTCTTCTGATGCCAGTACGCAATGCGAAAACTTGAATCAATCGACCACCACCGAAGACCATTCGCGCTAATAAAACCGTAAGCCGAATCCCATATGATATTGAACGCAAACATATTCCTCACCCGTTAGCAAAATAATCGATATACAACACAAACAATATCACAAAAGATGGAAAGACGCCAAATCGCAGCTATAATTACCCGATTAACTGGCCATAATCCGGAATCGCTCTCTTTCGAATGTTGCTTTTTCCGTGATTGATGTCATTACTTTTCGATGCCTGCTCCTCCTCGTCCGCTTCGTCATCCTCCTCTTGCGGAACGAAACCTAAGCCATTGTGCGCAACCGTCTCGTCGTTGTCCTCGGTCAGGCGTCCATCCTCCTCGGGCAACGGGTCCATCTGGCAACAGATGCCTTCGTGCTCCGTCCGGTCACTGCTGCCGGTAACGATCCAGCAACGCTGGTAGGCTAGCTCCAGGGGAGACGTCGGGTAGCTGCCAACGGTGCCACTTTCGATTGCCAGAGTCAAATTACTCCAGTACAGCTCCATGGCCGCTGGACATCTCAAAGGCCGGACACACGTAGTTCCGGCTGGACACATGTCGGGGCCTATTTTTACGAAACCGAAGAAGAAGATGCGTGAGTTGATGACAAGGGTTGCACAATTTTTGATCATTTGCAAAGACTGTTTGGGAAATCCCACACCACCGGTTCACGGCTCATCAAATCCAAATGTAGGAAAGTAATAAATCATGATGAAACTGAATACCCTCCGGACGTTGATTAGTTGCAGCTTCTGCAGCTTACCCGCGGATGGTTTCATTTTACTCTCATAATAACCTCAACTGAACAACGAATATGGTTTCGGCAAATGTTTACGTGCCGTAGCGTACCGATTCGTAAACATATCAAAAATGGCCAGGTTTGAACAAACTATGCCAAAAAATATATGATAATTTAAATATTGCTCTCCAAAAATTGCGATGAGCTTGAGAGTGTAGTAAAAGAACCCCTATCTGACACCTCCACACCATTTTCATATTGTCCTATTATGATCAGCTCAACTCGCCCGATATGGCACACTCGCATCATTTTTTTTTCCATACCATCAATCAACGTATTGTCCGTATGCCATCTGCCGGGGACCAGAGCCGCTGGAACAGTTCCGATGACGATGAGCATCAAGAGCAAAATCCTGGCCGCTGCTGCCGACGACACCGCCACATCAAGGAACACTTCAATCGAGCCATGTAATTTCATTTCCAGGAAGGCAAAATTGTCACATGTAACTATACGGTTGCACCGTCTGGGTAGAAGCACACAACAAGGACACTGATTCTATGCAAATATAAAATACGAATAAAATAGGAGCACTTTCCGCTCGTTCATACGACGGCGATAGATGGATGGAATGGAAATGTGAAGACACGTTTTGCGATTGGCAGGACTGATGGCGGCGAAGACCACCAACAAGATCACGAAGCATCCAATCGGAAGGGGCTATTGTTTCCATACAGCGGCAGCTATAGTCGCTTTGATATGAATATTGAATCTGGAAATGATCGAGATGTTCACTCGAAACGCATACGGCCGTCGTTAACGGAAGTACCTATAGCGGACCATTCGAGGGGTACGACGACGACGACGACGACGACGATGCGGTGTAAATTTCATCAACTAAATTTACCGTGAACAGCAGTATGCTTGGCATTGAAAGCAATGGATTCGTGTTATATCTTTAATTAATAGAATTAATTTTAACTCATATTGTTTGCTGCCCCCAGTGGCCAGATTATTTTTTTCATTATCGTTAGCTTCTAAAAACTTTTATCGGTAGTTATATGTAGGCCGTCTATAGATATATAGAGACTAGAGACTGTGAAAATCAAATACCTTTGCGTAAAATTGCATCCATGTACGCAGTAAGTTATTTTGTGGCCCGAAAGGCATGGGAAAAGTTTCAGGACTCCGGATAGGTGGCGGATAAGTCAGGTCGTGGCCGAAAACGGATTGCTACTCCTCGCTAAGATGCAAATATTGTTCGTCCGGCACGGAAAAATTCAAGAATAACAAGCCAAGTGATCAAAGAAAACCTGCAGCTAGACTGGATGTCTCTAGACTCTCTAGATGCACTCTAGACTCCGTGCATGAATCAGACTGAAAAAATAAACTGGTTGTAGGGTAAAGCGCTACTTCGTCGTAATCGCCCATTTCCGTTCTATCGATCAGAAAAGATCAATAATATCAATGATTTCACCGTGCACAAATCAATAATAGGTTTGTTCCGATGCGTTAGTTAATTAGCTACAGCATAAATCCTGTTAGAGCGCATTGTATGAATATTTACGCTCATTGTTCTCAAAACAAAAGAAGCGCTCCTAGCGAATCTCCTTTTTCTACGTTTATCCGTAGGACGAAGAAAATCTAACGGCGTTTCAATGCGTTAGGACGGAATTGAAACTCATAGAACGAATTTTGAATCAAGAAGCAGTGTTAGATTTTAGACAATATCTCAACAATGTGTGACTCTTTATCAAATCCAACGGTACGTATGGAAAGGTGAAGAAATTTGCAAGTCATCTTTGACAGAAATATTCTATTTTTTGTTTAAATTGAGTCACGATTGTAGTAGATAGAGTTAAGGCCCAAACGCAATGTGGGCGGAAGCGGAACGGAAACGGAAAGTTTAACAGTTGTCACAAATGCCATCAAGATGCCTAACCGAAGTCGATTCGATTCTAGCTAGTTTTCGGGTTTTCCGCTGCCGCTGCCGTTCCGCTTCCGCTGTCATTGCGCTTTGGCCTTTAGTGTGGTATAGAAATGATTAGAATCGAGTGAGCGTGAAGCGTGATAGATCGCACACTGAAAAATTGGACAAATCACATTTTGATTGAAAACTAATCATTTTAATATTATACCCAGTTTAATCGTGCTGGCTTTCTAAAAACTAATCAAAGTTGATTGAATTTTAGTCTTCTCTGGGTAAAATTTATTCATGTTCATGATTATTTCCATGAAAGTGTTAAATATGATTAACAGTGTAAAATCAAACGTCAAACTTGTTCGAAACCGTTTGTATTTGCGGCGTCGGTTCTGCTGTGCGAGTGCTGTGCATTTTTATGAGTTTTTCGCGGTGATTCCGGGTGTGCTGCGATGGAAGAAGTGTTTGGTGCAATCGGTGAAGACACCACGGAGGTGATTAAAGGTAAAATATATAATTAAAAAGAAGACATTTCTCCATAAGTGCCCGACAATTCTCTCGGCATCATTAGATCATTCGTTGAGGAATAAAAATCTGGAAGTTGTCCGGATCTTCATTCATCAATGGATAATTGAATGATATCGAGAAAGCTTGCGGAAAATCGACTCCGGAAGTGCGGAGTGAGCGAGATTTGTGTCGCATCGGGAATGGACTAGGATCATCCAGCCGTTCAATTGTTGATCGTATAATGCATTCTAATTTTTGATTTCAACGAGTCTGACTTTGACTCCAGCCCAAAAATAGCTTTTACTGCTTTCTATTTTTGTTTGTTTCTTACAGACCCAGTGTTACACAGAAAACCACGGCAACTAGGCTAGAACGACGGCAGCGAGGCTAGAAGTAGGAGCGTCCGCTTTGTTTCATCCAAGGCTTATGTTTTTTTAATGTATAGAAGTAAAATTCAAATGAAATCAAGATTTAGATGTTCTTCTATAAACTTTATCAAGTTTTTCCACACACTTATCTTTGTTTGCCGAAATGGGCACCACCGAGTAGCTTGCGTTGATTAGAATGTATTATTGGGATGATGGATATTTAATTTTAAAATGAATAAATTTCAATGTTAATTTTATCACTGCAACATTGAAAAGTAAGCATTGCATGATTATTTCGAATTCATTCATGCATGATTACTGCCAAACTAATCTTGGTTCTGACTGAATAAGGCAAAGCGGAAAATTGCTTAGTTTTTAAGCATTTTTGATTTCATTTATATTTGAGTGTATGTGAACGGAATTAAAGAGCCTTAAGGCCGGCGCACAATAGATACGTTTTCGGGTTTTTTGACAGTTAGCCCATGCATTATCTGTCAAAAAACCCGAAAACGTATCTATTGTGCGCCGGCCTTTAATTTATTAAGAAACGACATCTTATCCATTTGACAGGTCTTCTGCTCGATTGGAATGACTTTTCCTATGACTTTGACAGACAATCGATTGTTCCAATTTTGACATGTCGCCTCTTTATAAATTTAGGCTCTTTAAACGGAATCTTATTGTTTCGGGAATTTTGATACAGCTAGAGGTATAAATATGAGGTACATAAGCTCGTTGACGGATCTTGACTCTTTGCTCGACTGTTGAGCTGTTCAGTTCGTTTTCTTTTTCGCTCGAGTTCTCGCTTCGATTCGGTTTGTGCTGTCGCGTTGCGCCGTGGAAGCGTCGCCACCTTCGCGCGTTCTGGCAAGTTTACTGCAACTTGCCAACACGAAACAAATGGTGCGTAAACGTACCAATGATTCAGCAGGGGGCCCTTCAAAGAAGGTGGTAATCCAGCATAGCGCGTCGCAGGATGATGCCGGAAAACGGGTACTGCAAGCCAACCAGTTTGCGGTGCTCCCCGAAGAAAATGGCGATGGTGACGTCGTTCCCATCGCTGCAAGAGAGCGGATTCCCCCGCTTTTCACGCCGGAGAAGGATGTTGCCAAGCTGCGTGCCGAACTGGCAAAACACAAACTGCTGCCTCGCTTCAAGCTTTGCAGCATCGGCACCAAAATCATGTGCTCCAGCCTGGAGGAGTACAATCAAACAGGATGTTTCCTAAAGGAAAACAACGTTGACTTCTTCACGCACGATCTGCCATCGAGCAAGCCACTGAAGCTGGTATTGCGGGGATTACCGTCGTTCGAGGCGGCTGTGGTTAAATCCGAGCTGGAGCGGCTTGGGCTCAAACCTGAGGCGGTGTTCCCAATAAACCGGCGTTCCAACCACAACACCAGCTTCCGTGACCAGTTGTTCCTGGTGCACTTCACGAAGGGATCCACCAGTCTAGCGGTTCTGAGATCCAAAATCCGGGACCTGTTTCAGGTCATCATCAGTTGGGAACATTACAAATCCCAACATCGTGATGTTACGCAGTGTATGAACTGCCTCTCCTACGGCCATGGCACCAAAAACTGCCATATGAAGACTATCTGCGGCAAGTGTGCTGGAACTCACTCGACTGCGTCCTGTGAGCAAGATGATGACATCGAGCCAACGTGTGTCAACTGCGGTGGTAACCACCAAGCCTCCAATCGCGGATGTCCCAAGCGAGTGGAGTTCATCAATATCCGTCGGAAGGCTACGATCAATAATCAGCCCGGTCGCCTCCGTAATCATCGTTCGCCTCCTGCACGCACGGAAGTCCAGTACCCAGCTCTCCAGCCCCGTCGACATGTTCCGAACTTAGAACCACTTCCGCTCAACAACCAACAAGTCAAGCATGTGAGTATTCCTAACAATCGAACAGTCCAACATCGTCTCGCTGCTGCTGCTGCCCAGCCAATGCCAGGTCCCTCCACCGTCCCTGGTTTATCATACGCTGGTGTTGTCTCAGGTGAGCCTGTCGACGATTCTCCGTTCTCCTCGGAGGAACTTGTGACGCTCGTGGCCGAGGTCATCATCATCTTGCGCACCTGCAAGACTCGATCTGAACAGCTTCATGCTGCCCTGTCCCTTGTCACTAAGTATGGACCGTGTAGCCATCAAGATCGTAAATTGGAACGCTTGCTCCTTGAAGAGCAAAAACATCGAGTTTGTTGAGTTTCTCAATGAACGAAACATCGACATTGCCATCATAACTGAAACCCACCTGAAGCCTGAAACAAACGTCTACCTTCCCGATTTCCGGCTCGTGAGGCTAGATCGAACCAACTCTGGAGGAGGAGGAGTGGCTATTGCAATAAGGAGAAACATCTGCTGTCGACTGATGCCCAGCTTTCAGCTGAAGATCGTCGAAGCCGTAGGGGTGGAAGTTTCTACTCCTATCGGCCCCATCACCATCGTCGCGGCTTACTGCCCCAAACAAGTCAACATCAGGGACGGATCGGCAGCAGATCTGCGACGAGATATTATCAAGCTAACACGACGACGGGAAAACTTTATCATCGCTGGTGACCTGAACGCCAAACATCAAGCTTGGGGCAACAATCGGCGCAATCAAAACGGCACCATCCTGAACAACGACCTGCAGGAAGCGCAGTACAACATCTTGAGTCCGGAAACTCCCACCCGGTTGAGTCGGTCCGGTGTTCACGCTACCATCGATATCTTCATCAGCAACATAGGCAACAACATCGCTCAACCTATCACCTATCAGGAACTCAGCTCGGACCACTACCCGGTGGTGACTGAGGTGGGATCCTCCGTAAATCGATTTGAAGCTTTCCGGCGCATCTATCATCGTGTTGACTGGGGTCAGTTCCAACATTGCGTCGACACCGCTGTAGACTACGATGTCCAACCGGAATCGTCCGAAGATGTTGACCGGTG